CACACACACACACACACACACACAGAGACAGGTGTTTTTATACACAGAGATTTATTTATTTTGTGCCTTGGAGTCAGTCTTGAGCCTTGACAAATCCCTGCACTTTTCTCAGTGAGGGTTTTTCAAAAGTGGTTTGCCATTTCCCATTTCCCAGGACAGAGGAGGAGGAGGGTGGGGGGGAACTGGCTCAGAGCCACCCAGTTGGCAATTGTGCTTAAGGCAGGACTAGAACTCACGGTTCCTTGCTGTTCCTAGCCTGACGTCTTAACCACTTCAGTGCACCGAACTGGCTCTCCTGACTTAGTCTGATCCAAACCACAAAGGGAGGGGTGGAGGCACCACCTCCTCTTTGATCCAGGGAGCCAATGTTGAAACTACGACAAGTGTGAACTCTGCAGGCAGAATCTGGCCTACATTCATGTGGATGCATGCACAAGGGTTTGGAGTGGAGCTTTGTTTTTGTTTTGGAAGCAGAGATCTGGAACATGAGCTAGAAGGCAAAAAAATATTTCTCCTTCCCGGCTTTCGGTTTGTGACGGTTCTGGAAGGTAACCTCACACAGGGATAATCCCCACCTACCTTGTAGGGTTCTATCTATAATGCTTCAAATGCCCCACTCCCTCCCTATAAACGCGCAGCAGAAAACCAGAGTAGCGTCAATTAAAACAATCCTCACTGCAAAAGTGCATGTGGGGGACGAACGGGGTGTTTCCTGCCTCCTAGTTCACTGGTGGCTAACCGTTTTGTTGTCGGGTGCCAAAAATGCAAGCGTGCGCGTGCAATAGTACGCGTGTTTGCTGGCACCCATAATGTAAAGCCCTGCATGCACACACAACCCGCCTTTGTTGCGTGCCGCAATTCTCACCTCCAACCTGAGCTTGGTATTTCCAAGTGGCATTTTCACCCTCCCCAGCCTCCAGAGGCTTTTCTGAAGCCTGGGGAGGACAAAAACAGCCTCCTCCGGAAGGCCAAAAATCAGCTGGCCGGCATACTGGCAGACATGGATCCAGTTGCCACCTGTGACAGGCATGCCACAGGTTCACCATCACAGTCCTTGTTTGTCTATTCAAGCAGTGTGTAGGTTAGAACAACTTTCTGGGGCATGTGGGCCTCCAGAAGCATTGCATTACAAATCCCATGTTGGCTGAAAATGTTGCAGGAACTGGGTATGTCTAGTTTAATGAAAAGAAGGACTAGGAGAGACATGATAGCAGTCTCAGAGGTTGCCACAAAGAAGAGGGAGTCAAACTATTTTCCAAAGCACCTGACGGCAGAACAAGAAACANAAAGAAAGAAAGAAAGAAAGAGAAAGAAAGAAAGAAAGAAAGAAAGAAAGAAAGAAAGAAAGAAAGAAAGAAAGAAGAAAGAAAGAAAAAGAAATCAAAATAAACTGGGCAGAGGAGATGATGGAAGGTGGCGAGGTGTGGCGAGTGGTACCCAGGCGGTAGGGAAGGTAGGAGGTTTTGGAGCGATTCGAGTTCATTCGTCCAGAGTTAACGGCGTGCGCGGACGCGGCCACAACCCCCGCTTGCTGAAGCCGTGCTAGGAAACCGAAGGGGATCACCCGCAACGTTGTCGTCCCCCCCTCTTCCGCGTTGTCGTTTGACCAGGCGGGCGCTCGATCGCCTGCGCGTTTTCCGCGGCGCCAGTGAAGACACGACGCGTTTTAGAAAGCAGCCTGAGCTCGTATCATAGGGCTGAGCTGACCCTTTTGATCCTACGCTGCGGTCCTCCTGCCCCCTCACCCCATCCCCGGATCCAGAGCAGGCAGGTGACCTGGAAGGAACGTTGCTCGCACGTCCCGCCACGGATCGGGACTTCTGCCCAAACCACCAGCTCCGGCTCCCCCTTCAGGGGTGGAAAAGAGTGGAAGGGAAGCAGATACGCTTCTCGCCTCTCCACCGGCCCTGCGGGCCTCCGAACCACTTAAGCCGGCGTTGATAACGCCAGTGGGGCAATGAAACAAGCCGCAGAAGCTCTTTCTTCTCTTTTCTGTCGCCGGGATTACGGAAAAAACTTGCAATTTCTCTCTGGAGCTTTTTTTAAAATCCAGCCTAGGCTGTCAAGTATTCCTTCGTGCTACGAGCGCCCCTTGCCGGTCCGGTTA